TTGCCATTAGCTGGACCGTCTGGGCATTAATCTTAACTTTAGTCCAATACAGACGTAGTCCTCGACTTACGACCACAACTGAGACCAGAATTTCCATTGCTAAGCAAGGTGGTTATTAAGTGAGCTGCACTCGATTTTATGACCTGATTTGCTCCAGTGTTTAAGGCAAATCACCACAGCTGTTAAGTGAATCATATGGCCATTAAGCAAATGCAGCTGTTTCCATTGTTGGAAGCCTGCTGGGAAGCTTGCGAATGGAGATCATGTAAACCTTAAATGATGCAACTTCATAAATACATGCTCGGTTGCCAGGCGCCTGAATTTTGATCATGTGACGGGGATGCCAGGATGGCAATAAGTGTAAGGACCAGTCCTTTTTTTAGTGATGCTGTAACTCCAAATGGTTACTAAACGAATGGTTATAAATCGAGGCCTACCTGTATATCAGAGAGGCATCAGCAAGAACTCCAGTTCTTGCTCACCTTCATCTCTGCTTTCTTTAGCCTTAGACTAGTTCAGGGGTAGGCAACCTTGGCTCTTTTATGACTCGTGGACTTCAATTCCCAGAATTCCTGAGCCAGCATGGTTCAGCTTGGAAATCTCTCTCTTTCCCCTCAGCATGGCTGGCTCAGGAATTCTGGGAGTTGAAGTCCACGAGTCATAAAAGAACCAAGGTTGCCTACCCCTGGACTAGTTTTTCTCAACCTTAGTAACTTTAAGATGTATGGACTTCAACTCCCAGCATTCCACAGCCTGACTGTGGAATTCTGGGAATTGAAATCCACACATCTTAAATTTGTCAAAGTCAAAATATACTGCCTTAGCCTCGTAGACTTCCTGGTCCGAGTTTGGATCTCATTCTTTGTATATTTCTTCGATCTTTATTCCTCTTTTACCACATATTGCTGCCCCTGCCTCTTTTCCACACTAATCTCTTCCTACTTTCCCAGAAACCTCTCCTTGAATGGCTTCTTGAACATCTTTTTTTCCCAACTCTTTCCCACAGGTGTCCTATACAACCAGTTCTTATCCCAGGTGGACTTTGAGCTGCTCCGTAACCATGCCAAGGAACTTGGGGTCCTCGTTTTTGAGAACCCAGCCAAGCGTCTCATGGTGGTGACTCCCGCCGGCCATTCAGATGTCAAACGCTTCTGGAAGCGTCAGAAACACAGTTCCTGAAGACATGGCTTGCACTCCACGTTCTTCTGAATAAGTTTGTTGGGAAGTGGACCAAACAAAAAGGCGGGAATATCTCTCCTCCCATTACTTTGAAATGGATACAAGATACAGAGAGAAGGAAAACAGGGATGCCTGCCTTATTATCCCTTTGGCAGCCAAAAAGAGATAGGGAACTTAACAAAAAGGAACAACAAGAAAAAAAAGTTCATTGGTTCAGTTTAAGTGTCACCTTTCATCAACTCTCTCTGGCAGGAGTGACACCCTAACTGGGATAACACTGGCACGAAATAGGGTAGAAGTCCAATAAAATGCTTTGGGAAAATAGAAAAAGCAGGGGCAAAGCCATCTCACCAAACTAAAAGGAACCACTTGAGGCCAATGAGTTGTTGATGCAAAGTTATTAAAACTGAAGGGATGCGTAATTCGTTCCCTGCATGGTTGAATACTGAATCTTCAAGGTACAAGGGAGTTCTGGTATCAGACTGTCTACAACCTGGCATCATCCAACTATTTAAACCCTTGCTACTATCCTGAGACCTATCTGGGGAATGATAGAAATTGGAGCCCACTACATCTACAGTGCAGCTCGTTGGAGAAGGATATATAAAAAAAAAGCGTTAAGCAGTTATCATTTTTATTCTTTAAATGGCTTGACCCTCTTAGCTCAACGGGTGCAGAAAGAAGAGACAGTATTTCATTTTAGTTTTATAGAAGCTGCTAATGTGTAGGCTGCCTTGTTCTAATAAGGCGTGTGGTTTTTATAGGTGTAATTCAAGGTGTTTTTCTATCCATGTGTGAATGAAGACAGATCTCTATGCAGAAGCTGGGTTTACACATTGCATTAACCCATATTGTGATTAGTTTGGCCCTAACGTGATGTGTTCAGCACACCAAATCACCCTATTTTGATCTGGCGATGTGCCCAATCTGATATCAAGGGAATATCATAATCCATCATGGGGTTGCCATTTTTTTAAAAAAAAAACCAGTGCCAAATATTCAGATGTTTCAACGGGACTCAACACTGTAACTCCAGCATGAAGATGCTGTGATTTCACTTGTTCCTGTTCTGCCTGGAAGGGAGACCACTGTTGAAGATAATCTGTTCACCAATCTGTCCTGTGTTGATGAACTTGCTGAATCCTGAACGCACAGTTGAAGCCTCTGTTCAGATGGACGGATCAGTCAGCAGGTTCCTCATTCCACCTCTTTTATCTGAAATTCAGATATTGAATTAAAACTAGCTGAGGAGTTGTGGGAATATCTTCAGGTTTTTATTCTTCATCCTAAATTTGGCATCTCCAAACATTGCAGAGGATGTGCTGTATTTTATACTTGGGAAGCTGTGCTAAGGCTTATGGGTGGTTGTAAAGAGGAAGTGGGAATCTTTTGTGTAAATCAAACAGACAAATACGATTTTTTTTTTTTAAAAAAAGAATAAACTATCTTGGATGTATTCCTGTACTCAGAAGTTTTGTTATTGCAAAGTAAAGAATAATGCTAGCAAATGGGGACCCAGATTGTTGAGGCAATAGGCTGACTCTGTAAACCACTTAGAGAGGGCTGTAAATCTCTATGAGGCGGTATATAAGTCTAAGTGCTATTGCTATTGCTAAATGTAGTAATTGCTAAAGATGAATAATCCAGAAGTTTTCATTCCAGACAGCTAATAAAATTCTTAGTTATCTCCGGCTGTCATAGACATAGGCTCTCTATCACTGAAAGGGAATTCAGTCAAATTGCTTTAGTGCAGTGGTGGCGAACCTGTGGCACGAGTGCCAGAGGCGGCACTCGGAGCCCTCTCTGTGGGCATGCACACTGTCGCCCCAGCCCCGCCTCCCCCCCGCAGCCCATTCCTCACCAGCAGCCCCCACGGAGGAGAGTCACCCCTGGGTGCAGCCCACACAGCCAAGCACATGGCAGATGGGCAGCACATGATGCTGCAGGGCACGGGCGGAGGGTGTAGCCACCTAGGTGCTGCAGGGCTGCCTGGGTGATCTGCGGCAGGCCGTTGATGGCCCTGAGGGCGGGCGGGGTGAGGGCAGGGGCGGGGCAGTTTTGGGGCACTCGTCTCTAAAAGGTTTGCCCTCACTGCTTTAGTGAGTTTCTCCTATTGTGATGCACACTTAAAATAACTTTATACAAACTCAGAAGTTCCCAACTAGGCCAGTCTTTCTCACAGGGTAGCGGTTGTGAGGTAAATAGGAGGAGAAAGAAGTACAGGTAGTCCTCGATTTACAGCCACAGTTGATCCCCAAATTTCCAATGCTAAGCAGGACAAGTTGTTAAGTGAGCTTTGCCCCATTTTGCAACTTTGCTTGCCACAGTTGTTAAGTGAATCACTGCGGTTGTTAAGTTAGTAACCCGGTTGTTAAGTGAATTTGGCTTCCCCATTGACTTTGCTTGTCAGAAGGTCGCAAAAGGTGATCACATGACCCCCCCAGGACACTACAAACCATCATAAATACATGCCAGTTGCTAAGCATCCCAATTTTGACCACCACAGTCGTAATCGTGAAAAATGGTCCTAAGTCATTATTTTTGCAGTGCCCTTGTGATTTTCAACGGTCACTTAAAAAATGGTTGTAAGTTGAAGACTACTTGTATTGGATATGAGTTGTTTATAAAAATAAAGGCTGGATATAAATTAAATATTACTCCATGGAGTGGGCAGATCAAAGAGGAAAGGACCTCCCCACCTCTTTCGGCATCCAATGATGCCGGCATACTTTCCCACCTGCAGTATTAAAAGGGGTTAAGGAAGGATCAGAAACCAGTTGCATCCAGTTGAATCTCGCATCCAGTTGCATTTCAGGCCAGTTTTTGAGGTGTTTTTGGATCCCGGACTTGGCGGCTTCTGTCCATTTGGCTAGTGCCTGGCAGCCTAGTAGTGGATGCTAGGTAAGTGTGTGTGTGTGTGTGTGTGTGTGTGTGTGTGTGTGTGTGTGTGTGTGTGTGTGTGTGTGAGAGAGAGAGAGAGAGAGAGAGAGAGAGAGAGAGAGAAACAGTAAAAGTTTGCTGTTATTTTAAATGCACTGAGTCTCTGTATTTTAAAGGACCATTTGTGCCTCAGTGCTTAGTTGATTTGGGATCGAGTGTGGCAGTTTTCCAGGCCAGTGAGTGTGTGAGTGAGTGACCATAAGTGGAACCTGAGAGCCCACTTGTGTAACAGGAGCAAGACCAGAAATCAGGTGAGTGTGGTCCATTGTGGAAAGTCACATCATTACAGCATAAAAGCCCCCAGCCATCTTTAATTTAATCAGTGGTGGCTCATGAACGTAGGCCTTGCTAGGTATTTACTTCTGTGCAAAATACTTTGCAGCTCACTATTGTCTATGTTGCATTGCACACAGTATAGCTACCTGTGTAGCAGCATAATAAAATATGTAACCTCAAAGGTGTGTTTCTTTGTTAGTAAACCCCACGTACTGTTCTAATGTTTCCCTACATCTGAATTATTGACACGAGACCTATTGTCTTGCTCTGTGTAAGGTGGTCCTCAGTTAATGACGGAAATTAGGATCTGAATTTCTGTTGCTAAGCAATGTAGTCATAAAGCATGATGTCACACAATTGCCCTACTTAAGTGACAGCAGTTTTGGCACTTCCCACTTGCCATTATTAAATGAATACTGAGCCATCATTAAGTGAGGATTCAGGTGGTTACCTCCCAACTGCTTCCACGTCATGGTTGTCCCAAAGGTGCTTTTTCCAAAAGGAAACTGGACTTTCATGGTTTTTTTTTTCTTTGAAAATGTTTCTTTTCTCATGCAAGAAACTTCTTCAGTTCTAACTAACTGGTGGGGAATGGAAGGATTTATATTCTATGCAGTGATCTGGTTGTTCGTACTCTTGAGGGACATTGAGGCCATTTGGGGGTTTATCTATATCCTCAAGAGTCACCTGAATTAGAGTGCAAATGGGTGTGGAACCTTCTTGGGACTGCCGAAAGGACAGCATTGTAAAGAAGGAGATATCCCTCCCCCTCTGTTGCAAACCTGCACAAGAATCATTTCACAAGTTCATGGCACAACACAGGAGAACAAACTCATCAGGACAGGATTCGGCAATCCATCTGCATCTGAAAGACAAAGATCACTCTTTTAAAGACAGTAAAGTCCACATTCTGGACAGAGAGGACCACTGGTTTTGAAAGAGGTGCCAAATTAAAATTGAATAGCCCTCCCCCAACAGGATTGTCTATTTCGCACAGGAGGTAGAAGTTGTTTATGTATTTATCGATGGCCGATTTGTCACAGTGCCAGGCTTCCAGGAATTCTCTAGAATTTTTGGACTTGGCTTGGTCTACGACGGTCACAGTTTCCCAGTTGAAATTATGGTAAGTCTGTCCATAATTTGTGAAATTAAAGAGTTTTCATAATGTCCTGTGACTAGCACTCTGACAAATTGGCCACTTTTCTGAGAGAAAACAGCCAAGGTCAGGGAGCACCAAGGACTCCTCATTTCAACCCTTAGCTACAAGTCTTCTCCTTTAAAGTAGAATAAATTGCTCCAGATCATATGTAGTATCTCAAGTGAGAAAGCTGGGTGGATTTGCTCGATGATGTGTTATTTGCTTTCGGGTTCTTTAGTTGCTTTGAAATCTGGACAGATGTTGTAATGGCTCTTTTCAAGGCTGGAGGTTGCACACCAGAGATGGTGACTGTCCTTTGCTCTAGAGTTCTCTCACCCCATTTGAAGGAAGTTCTTTGCTTTTCCCTCTCTTTGATCCTGGAGCTTTTTGCCAATATTTGCAGCTTCCTCCCCCTTTATGGGCAGAATCCAGTGGGTCAATGCACCTTCGTGCAATATATAAAGGTGCTCTTTTCATGATCATTTTTTGTGAGCAGGATACAGCCTGGTCATCTCTGAAACTTTCTTCTTTCGAATAACCAGTAGTCCCATTGAATCTGACAAGTGAGTAAAGTCTGCAGAATTTTTTAAAAAACATTTTTTTCAGAGAATTAGATGATTTTTAGGAAAGGAACTAGAATTTCTTGTTTTCTGGCTAGTTAATTTAGGCTATTTAGGCTAGTTAGTGCTATTGTCGGCCATGACCAGGGGGGCGTTCTATCAGGCGTTAATTTAGGCTATTTAGGCTAGTTAGTGATCATTTGTCGGCCGTGACCAGGGGGGCGTTCTATCAGGTCCGCCTGATTTACCAGTTGCGTCCATTTCTGGACCGGGACGCTTTGCGCACAGTCACTCAAGCTCTCGTCACCTCCCGCCTGGACTACTGTAATGCTCTCTACATGGGGCTCCCTTTGAGGAGCACCCGGAGACTTCAACTGGTCCAGAATGCGGCCG